TCAGTTGCACTCCTGAACGCCCGATCGGTTTGCAACAAGCTCACCGCCATCCATGACCTCTATCTCCCACTCCCTCAACTTCCTAGCGGTCACCGAAACCTGGATCCAAGCCACTGACTCCACCTCCCCTGCGGCACTCTCCTATGGAGGTCTCGTCTGGTCCCATTCACCCAGACCCGAGCGGTCGTAGAGGTGGTGGGGGTCGGCATGCTCGTCACCGCTGAGCACCTTCCAGGTCCTCCCAAACCCCCCCTCTCTAGCCTTCTCCTCCTTCGAGGCCCACTGCACCCGGCTCTTCTCTCCCATCCCTCTGAGGATTGCAGTAATCTATTGGCCTCCTGGACCCGTATCCTGCTTCCTCGATGACTTTTCCGCCTCACTACCCTTCTTCCTCTCCTCTGAGCTACCCACCATCTGTCAGGGACCATCGCGATGCATGGGTCTACACATGCGTAGGTGTCTGTCAAGACATGCAGGCAGCAGTGCACTAGGACCCAGGCGCACCCGTCGTCTATGACAGTACTGGGCAGGCACTAGGACCTAGGCTGCGCCTGTCAGGTGCAGGGCGGTCTACTTAAACCAGCCATGAACAGACACTTGTTGCCGAATGGTCTTTGCGTATCCTGTTGCCTGTGTTGTGAGTACCCTGATCTGGATTGTTTGACCTTGTTGCCTTCTCCTGTCCTGACCCCTTGGCTTGCCTGACTCTGCTCCTGGATGCTCCCTTATAGATCTGATCTTCTGGTATTGACCCTGCGTGTGACCAGACTATCCCTTGCCTACCGTCTTGTACCACACCGACCCGCTAGTTACCGACACGGCCTGTTTGACTCTGATCTTGCTCATCCATCCATCCCTCAGGGATCCCCGAACTCCCTCACATCAGACTCTTAACCCACAGAAGCCTCTGGCAGACTCCTCTACCTCTGGTAGAGATACCCGGTAGCTGCGACCTGGTCCCGGAGCGCTCCAAGTCCATCCCCACCATCAGGGGCCCTGGTGAACAAGTGCTCCGGTACTTAGACTCCGCACTCTGGGAAGGCTCTATCAGGGGACTGATAGAGGTGCTGTCAGGTGGTCCATTACACCATCATCCTTGGTGACTTCAATATCCCTATCAACATCAATAATAACCCGGCTACATCCCAACTCCTCCACTTAACCTCTTCCTTTGCACTCACACAGTGCACACAGTCCTCCACCCACACCGACGGGAACACCCTGGACCTCGTTTTCTCTCATTTCTGCACCCCCCACTACCTCACAAACACCCCTTTCCCTCTCTCTGACCACAACCTCATTACGTACTCCATCTCCCTGTCCTCTAACACCCCCCCAAAATGTCATACCATCACCAGACGTAACCTCCACAACCTGAACCCGGCCCCTCTCAACTCTGCAGCTGACAGTCTGTACGACAGTATCCTTCCACTGTCATGCTCTGACTTGGCCACTACTGCGTAGAACGACTCGCTGTCAGCTGCCTTAGACTCCTTGGCACCCCTAACCACATGCAGTATTAGACCCCAACCGCTTCAACCCTGGCAGAACGACCACACTAAAAATCTTAAACGACGCAGTCACGCGCTGGAGCGATTATGGCGCAAAACCAGATCCCCTCGAGCGTTCTCTCCGCTATAAATCCGCCTTCCTCACCTACACCTCCTCGCCGCCAAAAAAGCCTACTTCGTAACCCTCATCAATACCCTCTCCACCTGTCCTCGCTGGCTCTTCTCCACTTTCAACTCCCTACTCTCCCCCCCCCCACCTCCACCCAGTACCTCACTCACCGCCCACGAGATTGCCAATCACTTCCAAAACAAGATCGACGCAATCCGTAAGGACATCGCCAATGCTCAATCTAACGCCAACCGCCCTGCCCCCCACCACACCTAACATCCCGCACACTATAACCTCCCCAGCACTCCGCTCCTTCAGTCTTGCTACCACTGAGGAGGTCACTAAGGTCTTCTCAGAAGCCCGCCTCACCACTTGCCCCCTTGATCCTGTCCCCACACAGCTCCTCCGGTCGCCCTCCTCCTCCATCCTACGCTCCCTCATCCGCATCTTCAATCTCTCCCTCTCTACTGGCGCATTCCCCTCCACCCTAAAGCACGCGCACATCACCCCCATACTCAAAAAACCCCTCCCTGGACCCCACCGACCTGAACAACCTTAGACCCATCTCCCTGCTGCCATTTACATCCAAGCTCCTTGAGCGCTTAGTCTACAATTGCCTAAACTCCCACCTCACTGACAACAACCTCCTCGATCCACTACAGTCTGGCTTCCGTCCCCTACACTCCACCGAAACCGCCTTTCTCAAAATCACTAATGACCTGCTAACCGCCAAAGCTAATGGCCACTACTCAGTCCTCCTACTCCTCAATCTCTCCGCGGCCTTCGACACAGTTGACCACCCCCTCCTCAATAAACTACACTCCCTTGGCATCAGAGACTCCGCTCTCTCCTGGCTCCCTTCCTATCTATCCCAACACTCCAGCGTTACCAATAACGCTACCACCTCCCCCTCTCCCCCCCTCTGTTGGGGTCCCCCAAGGCTCTGTCCTCGGGCCCCTTCACTATCTACACCTCCTCCCACGGCTTCAACTATCACCTCTACACTGATGACACGCAAATTTACCTCTCCACCCCTCACCTCACCCCTTCAGTCTCCACCCGTATCACCCACCTACTGAACAACATATCAGACTGGATGTCGCTCCATTTCCTCAAATTGAACCTTTCCAAAACCGAGCTCCTAATCCCCCCCCCCCCCCCCCCCCCCATCATCTCCATCACAACCAACAATGCCACCATCAGTCCCACCCCGCAAGCCAAAGTCCTAGGTGTCACTCTAGACTCAAACCTGTCCTTCCAACCCCATGTCCAATCGCTGGCGAACTCTTGCAGGCTCCACCTCCGCAACATCTCCAAAATACGTACGTTCCTAACCCCAGACACTAATAAACAACTCGTTCACTCCCTTATTATCTCACGTCTGGACTACTGCAACTCCCTTCTCACCGGCCTACCCAAACACAGGCTATCCCCGCTTCAGTCTATCCTGAACTCAGCGGCCAGACTCATCCACCTTACCAATCGCTCAGATTCTGCCACCCCCCTCTGTCATTCCCTCCACTGGCTTCTCATTGCCCAAAGCATTAAATTCAAACTACTAACATTGACATACAAAGCCATTCATAACGCTGCCCCAAACTACCTCATCGACCTGATACCCAAATACCACCCAACCCGTACTCTTTGCTCCTTACAAAACCTTCTACTTTTTAGCTCCCTGGTCTCCTCCTCCCACGCCCCACTGCAGGACTTCCCCCATCCTCTGGAACTCACTACCCCAATCTATCAGACTGTCACGTACCCCTTCCTCACCTTTAGGCGCACCCTGAAAACCCATCTCTTCAGGGAAACCTACCCCACCCTCACTTAACAGCCGATCTCCTCCACTCCATCCCCCACAGCCACTTCCTCCTGTACCACTATCCCCTCCCTCCTAGATTGTAAGCTCAAAAGAGCAGGGCTCTCGAACCCCTCGTGTATTGTTTTGTTACTGTATTGTCTCATGTACTGTCCCCCACTATAATGTACAGCGCTGAGCAAACCTTTTGGCGCTATATAAATACTGTATAATATAATAAGTACAAAATGAGCTTCCTAACTCCTATCTCTTTAGAGAATTTCAGCTCAGCCATGCTTTTAAATCTCAATTTGGAGTTTCTCCACTGGATTTCACCCCTACTGGTATTGAATCTCTTTTGAGAGAAATGTACGCAAGTAAACCATTATCCAATATTTATAAGGCCCTTATGCCTTCTATTCATTTTGGTCAGGAAAAGCTTCATGGTGGAGGTGCTAGGTCTGGATGAAAAGGACTGGGAAGTGGAAATATTCCTTTGTTTAAGTAGTGTGTGCCAGGAACGGGTTAATCTCATTTAAAATTTTGCAGAGAATTTACTTAAAGCAGAACTGCAATGCATCTGAGCGGCACAAACCAAAAAAGCGATTTTATTTATTTTTAACATTCAAAGCAAACTCCATCAGTCTGTCTCCATTCTTTATTTTGCTGAGAAATCACTTTGAAAAACATCCATAGCATTTCTGACTGCAATCATCTTAAGCAACAGCACATAATTCATGTAGAATTTACTTCCTGGAATCCATCTACCCTTAGCTCAGGCATGCAAGAAGGAGGGTGTGCTTCTCCTGCAGACTCCTGGGATTTAATGACAATTTGCCTAGGCATGGAAACCAGGAGGTAACTGATGAAATGTAAAAAAGTTTAACAAGTAAATATACACTGTATTGCCAAAAGTATTGGGTCGCCTGCCTTTACAAGCACATGAACTTTAGTGGCATCCCAGTCTGTCTGTAGGGTTCAATATTGAGTTGGCCCACCCTTTGCAGCTACAACAGCTTCAAAGTTTCTGAGAAGGCTGTCCACAAGGTTTAGTAGTGTGTATGGGAATGTTTGACCATTCTCCCAGAAGTGCATTTGTGATGTCAAGCACTGATGTCGGACGAGAAGGCCTGGCTCACAGTTTACGCTCTAATTTATCCCAAAGGTGTTCTATTGGGTTGAGGTAAGGACTTTGTGCATGCCAGTCAAGTTCCTCAACCTCAAAATCGCTCATCCATGTCTTTAATTACCTTGCTTTGTGCACTGGTACGCAGTCATGTTGGAACAGGAAGGGGCCATCCGCAAACTGTTCCCACAAAGTTGGGAGCATGAAATTGTCCAAAATGTCTTGGTATGCTGATGCCTTAAGAGTTCCCTTCACTGGAACTGAACTGAAAGGGGCCAAGCCCAACCCCTGAAAATCAACCCCACACTATAATCCCCCCTCCACCAAACTTTACACTTGGAACAATGTAGTCAAGCAAGTACTGGTCTCCTAGCAACTGCAAAACCCAGACTTGTCCATCGGATTGCCAGACAGAGAAGCGTGATTCGTAACTCCAGATAAAACAGCTCCACTGCTCTAGAGTACAGTGGCAGCGTGCTTTATACCACTGCATCTGATGCTTTGCATTGCACTTGGTGATGTAAAGCTTGGATGCAGCTGCTCAGCCATGGAAACCAATTACATGCAATTAGTATGCAATGCTGTGTTAATCTGAAGGCCACACAAAGTTTGGAGGTCTTTAGCTATTGACTCTGCAGACAGTTGACAACTTGTGCGCACACTGCACTTTAGCATGCGCTGACCCTGCTCTGTCATTTTAAGTGGCCTACCACTTTGTGGCTGAGTTGCTGTTGTTCCCAGTTGCTTCCACTTTGTTAGAATACCAGTAACAGTTGACCGTGGAATATTTAGTAGCAAGGAAATTTCACAGATGGACTTGCAACCTATCACAGTACTACGCTTGAATTCACTGAGCTCGTGAGAAGAACTCATTCTTTCAAAAATGTTTGTAGAAGCATTCTGCATGCCTAGGTGCTTGATTTTATACACCTGTGGCCATTGATTGGAATACCTGAATCCAATGATTTGGAGGGGTGTCCCAATAATTTCGGCAATATAGTGTACCTTTCTATCTACTAATGCCAGCAGAAGGATTGAAAATAGTCAGTGTTGATAGAGATAAGTTTCACTTTAAAACCTCAGAAATGGCATAAAATTTATCCCAGTTTTTCTCCTAAATTGCTGGAGGTGTATGGACGACTCAGCTGACTACTTGCACACGTTTTGGACAAGCCCTCAGGTTAGGGTTGTCACCTCATCCCTTTAAAACCAAACACAAAAAATTACACAGGTTCTGTGGCTGATTAAACACACAGTGCCTTGTCTACATAAAATCAGCCTCAGGACCTGCGTAATGTGTTCGATTTTAAAAGGATGAGGAGAAAACGTCTGGTTCCGATGCCATGTGGAGTGAAGTTAAGCCGTCCCTGCTCCCGCCGCCCTCCTCCATCGCTGTGCTTCTATGCCCGCTACACTTCGGGGGATGCCCTCTTCCTGCGGCTCCGGGGAACTCATGGACTGCTTTGTGGAGCGGCCCCAAGCTCGCACCTCTTCAGTCCCCCGCCTGTCCCCCGCTGCAGCCAAGATGGCTGCCGCTGAAGTCCTCTCCACAGGCACAGGGGATTAGCAGTGCACACAGCAACCACAGCCTCCTGCTCCTCAGCCTCCAGACCCTGCCTCTCTAGCTGGCATCGCCCACGCAGTCATCGCACTCCTGGTACCTACTCTCATGGCGGTGTGCTGTTCTTAAAGGGCTAGAACAGCTACACAAAGATCTCCATGTTCAGGCTCAGCGCATTGTGAAGATGGAAGATAGGATCTCCTCCGCTGAAGACGACTCATTGCCTGTTTCTGCGACAGTAGCCCAATTCACCACGGTCCAAAGTGATCTTCAGGATAAGGTAGACGATCTAGAAAACCACTTACGGCAGAATAATTTGCTCATCATAGGCCTGCCTGAGTCATACTAATCCTCCATGCTGATCATATGTGCTACGTCCATTCTGGAGCACATAGGCCTACAACACCCCTGCGCGGTTGAAAGAGCCCACCATCTGACTCTCGCACTAAACCTAGGCTGGTGATTGTTGGCTATCTGAACTACGCTGACAAACAGGCCATCCTTCAGAAATTCCGGCCCACACATGCCTTATTTGTGGACGGACGGACACCAATTGCTCCTGTTCGCGGACTACATGAACATAAGGCCTTCTCTGCGATCTGCTCCACTCTCTATCACAGGCAGGTTAAATTCACACTGGCTTATCCCACTGTTCTTCATATCCAGCAGCCGGATGGAGAAAAGATATCCTTCACCTCGCCATTGGAAGCAGAGAAGTATCTCAACAATTTCCCTGAAGCTGCCATGGATCAAAGTCCTTCTGCATCATCTTCCTCCTCTCCACCAACAGAAAATTCCGTGCCCTTCCAGAATCAACCAAGTCCTCAAAAGCCACCACATAGATGGGTGCGCTTTGGTCGGGCCGAAGACAACTATGTTACCCGCTGACCTGTTTTATCAAAAAGATATGTAATGGTTTTCCTCATTTTTCTATGCTTTCTCAGGGACTGATGTAATTTGTCCTAAAACAGCTATTTGGTATCTGTCAGTCTTGTTCATGCCTCCCCCGAGGTGGTCTGCCTTGCACACCTGTCCGCTCGGATGGGCAAAAAGGGTCTTCAGGTGTTTCCCCTTTCTCCATTACCCTCTCTGTCCCACCCCCCTCCATGTATACGTTGTTGTCCAAGACAGTAGTGGAGTGCCGAGTGCAGGAACTGGATTGCTCTATATGGGAAAAAAGTGAAGTTCCCGATCTACCTGGGGAGCTTCTCCCCATTTGTTACAGAAGTTTTACATTTATTGTTTTGCATTGGCTTTTACTGTTGCAATTCTAGGTGACGCATGTTGCTCTGATCAACCTGGACTCATTGGGGTGATGCCTGGCGTGGTGCTGCCCTATTGTAGGCCTTATCTAATCTTTATACTACGACAGACATGGCTTCATGTGATGACAGGGATCACTTGAAGGTAATCTCGTGGGATGCTCAACGAACAAGCGTATGCAAGTACTACATCATCTGAAACATTTGGGGGCAGATGTGGCTCTTTTGCAGGAGACATCTCTCCACCAGCGATCTTTCTCGTCTTTTGAGACTTTGGGTGGGCCAGGTGTTTGGTTCTCCGGCCGTGGCCCGTAAGGCAGGGGTAGCTATACTATTCCATAAAAATTTGTGTTACACTGTTCGCTCTGTTAACTCTGATTCTGAGGGTCACAAACTCACTGTCCATATTACGATCGCCTCTCGTGACTTTGCTATCTCCACTCTATACGCTCCGAATTTTCCAGGACAAAACTTTTACCAGGGTCTGACTTCATGGGCCTTAGAATTCCGGAATCCTGTCATATCCTGAGTGGAGACTTTAACGCAGTTATGCACAATGATATTGACCGAAACAGAACATCCCATGCGACGTCCTGGACAACTGCCTTAGTATCCCCCCCACCACCACTTTAGCACAATCTATAGATATGCTTAATCTGCATGACTTATGGCATCTCCAACACCCGACAAACAGGAAACACAATACTCATCCCCTCCTGACTCTTTTTTGCTCACAGCCTCTCTAGTCTATGCTATGTAAAATGACCATTTCCGATATGACCATTTCTGACAACTGTCCATCCTATTACAGTTCTCTGGGCTGAAAACTCCCAAATCCCCGAGCTCATAGCGGTTCCCTGCTTATTTAGCCAATAACGAAGACCCATTTATTTGCGGCGTGGAAGGAATTTATGGATACGAACAGAGCACATTTAACCAATCCTAACCTGTTCTGGGAAGTTGGGAAGGTGTTCCTTAGAGGGCGCATAATCTACTATACCAAGCAATTTAAGAAAAGGTCCCATCTGATTTACCAACAGGCGGGCGAATCTCTTCATCAGGCACATATTGCGCTTTCCCTCAGTTGCACACACACGAATAGGCTAAATTTGCAATCTGCCAAAAAGCTGTCAGAGCCTGGGCCTTCTGCGATGAGTGGCAATATTTCTTCTTGCGGAGCCACCTGGAATGCTGGACAGCTCCCTTGACAACTATTTGGATGATCCTACCTTGACCTGGTTTATCATGAACCTTGAACTCCTTGCTCCTCCCATGAACTTCCTGATATAAGCCATATCTCTGCACTTCCTGTTTGCCAGATTAATGTGCTCTCCAGCCAGTATTGTGCTCCTTATCTTCTGTTATTATCCATATTTTGCTACCACTCATTATTGACCCTTGGCTCGTTCTACGCTTCTGCCTGATCCCAACCTGCGACTACTCAAAACCAACCTTGGCTTGTTTACTGATCACGCTTACAGTTTTTTGTTTTTCAATTTATATCTTATTAAATTTTAATTCCATTACAAAAATAAATCACGTTAACATTATCTCATTATAATCCATACATAATATCTCATTCCCACTCCTCTACCCTCCTCATTCCTCCCGTCCCAGTCCCTACCCCTGTCCATTAAGATCTTTCTTATATCTTCCCTTAGGGCTGTCTACCTTACTCCTTCAGAGTTATGTGTTCCATTTCATCCTATTTTCTCAACTAATTCTTTTCTTTCTCCGCCTCATCTTCCAGGGCACCCATTATCTCATATTTTGCAAAGTCTTGAAAGCATCCCATTTACTCCAATCCTTTCTAAATTTTTCCAATCTATCTTCATCTAAGTGAAATAACTCCTCCATCCTATAAATGTATTCTATCCTATTAATCCATTCTCTCATCCTTGGAGGTTCCTGTGCCTTCCAATATTTAGGGATCAGACCTTTAGCTGCACTAAACGGTATAATAAACTACTTTTAAACTTTCTCTGAAACCTCTGTGCTATAAAATAAACACACCCATGGATCCTTTTGAATACTCACTCCCAAAATCTCCTGTATATAAACCATTACATCCTGCCAGTATTTCTGGATTTTGTTACACTCCCACCAAATATGTGACATAGTCCCTCTTTCTCCGAAATCCCTCCAACAAAGTGGTGAAACTTCTTCCCTTAATTTATGTGCCATATCCGGTGTACAATACCATCTTGCCAAACATTTATATTTAATTTCTACCGTGTTCAGACTTGCAACCCCGTGCACCAATTTAAACACTTTATCCTTCTGTTGCTCTTTCATCTTCATGTCCAATTCTTTTTCCCAACTCTCCAAGAATATCAGAGGCTCTGATTCCATTAGCTCGCCGAGCATCTTGTATATTTTAGACAACACATGTTTACAAGCTGTGTCCTAGCTCAACAATTTCTCGAATGGAAGCATATCCTCAGTTTCCCTCAGAGGGCAGGGAAGTGTTGAAACAAAACTGCTAATATCTAAACCCATCTAATGCAAAAAATAAATCCTTCCTTTCCCTCAATTCCTGAAAATTACACAACTTCCCCTTAACTAAAATATACTCCAAACGTGAATCTCTAAACCATCTCCCTGCTATTTCATCATTCCCTGGTATAAAAAATTTGGTCCCCACTAGTGGAATCTTAAGTGAATTATACTCCCACCCATGGATTTGTGCAACCTATCCCATACTCTCAATACCTCCCTTGTAAGCACACTCCCGTTTTCCCTCAACCAACGGAATTTACTTGGAATCCATATAATCTTCCCCAACTGTGTCATATTTAGTGTTTCCTCCATTTTTACCCAACTTTTTTCTTCTGCATTATATGTCCAGTCCATCATAGAAGCACCGACATATAATATTTCCATATATCTGGCAGATTCAATCCTACCCCTCCACTTATTTTTACAAAGTATCTTATTATTATTATTATTATACAGTATTTATAAAGCCCAATGGTTCGCTCAGCGCTGTACATTACAAAGGGGGACAGAACATGTGACAGAATACCAATACAATGCAAAACATGAGGGGATCGAGGGCCCTGCTCTTTCGAGCTTACAATCAA